GTAGTGTTCGGGTAAAAGTTTTAGGACTTATAATGATCCTACAATAATGAAAGAGATGTTGATTTTAATTTATTAGATACTACCAATATAAATGTAGAACATTATAATTACACACAATTCAGCAAGTACTATACTGTAAAGAGTTTCGAGTGAGTTACTGATCACAAATAACCAATTTGGGATACGACCGAAGCTTTGAACTGCTGGACTTTAAAATGAGAAATTACCTTACCTTATGCAAGGGCCTCCTTAGATCCTTGGTGTTTGATAGGATTTACCTCACCAAGGAGGGTTGTTTCCTCCTGTGAGGGCTACAACGCCTTTTTTAAAGAGCCGGCGGCCGGTCTACCCTCAAATCACTTGTCCCTCCCCCTGTGTCTTTTCTTTCGGGGGAGGACTGAAATACTCTCTTATTTTTTACATCCCGAGGTCTAAATGAAGCTTTTTAATGACCTACTCAAGTCCAACGATCGATAATAGTAGAACACATCAACTTTTTTGACAACTTTAGAAAGAACATTTTTTTAGTAGCAATAAAGTCACCATGAAATTATAAGATTATCTCCAAATCAGTGTGGCCGTTCAATTCAAAATTACCACTAACACATACAAAAATCCTAAGAGCAACACATGTTCCATATAAGTGGATCTCTATTTAAAAACGTTCAAAAGATCAAGCAAGGTCACATTTATCAAAGAACTTTCGGTGGGCCATGAAACCCTGGTTTTGGAATACCATGCATTGTCATGATCGAAACGCCGCATACGATGCGACTGTTGAAGTCAAATTGAATCATTCACGATCGGATTTGCTTGTGTAATTCTATGCTCAAAACAGAAGAGGGGTCTTGGATTCGCAATGAAAGGCTCTTACACCAACAAACGACAAATTATTTTAAAAGCCTATATCGTTCAGTGGGTAACAGAAATTTTGTTCCGGTTTTAGACATCATTCCTACAATGGTACATGAAGAAATGAATGCATCACTAACCGCTGAGGTCACTTTGGAAGAAGTCAAGCATGCTGTTTTCCAACTAAGTCCTCTAAGTGCCCCTGGACTATATGGTTTTAATGGGAAATTTTTTCAGTTCCACTGGGAGACTCTTCAATTTGAAGTATTTGCGGCAGTTAAAATTTTTTTCATATCAGGAAAATTGAATCCTGATTTAAATAAAACCCACATTACACTAGTTCCAAAAGTTCCTAACCCCAAAACTCTCGATCAATTCCGTCCCATTAGTTTGTGCAATTTTGCCTACAAAATCATATCCAAGGTAATGGTGAATCGACTCAAACCTTGGTTATCGAATTTAATCGCTCAAGAGCAAAGTGCATTCGTAAGTGGGAGACTTATCCAGGACAATATCATGATAGTGCAGGAAGTGTTGCATCAACTAAGAGTCAAGAAGAGGAGGAAAAAATTTCAGGCGATCTTGAAACTTGATATGAAAAAGGCGTATGACAGAGTAGAATGGGGTTTCTTGGAGGCATGCTTAAGAAAACTGGGCTTTGATGAAAAGTGGATCACATGGGTTATGCAATGCGTGTATCTTCAGTCTCATTCAGTGTTAAATTTAATGGGAATCCACTCCCTTACTTCCAGCCTTCCAGAGGACTTAGGCAAGGTGATCCATTATCCCCTTATCTGTTTATATTGGTAGCAAATGTTTTATCTCTTATGATGAAGGAAGCAGTAGAGGATGGCAGTATAAAGGGTATTAAACTTAACTCTTATTGCCCTACCATATCACATCTTCTATTTGCGGATGACTCCATCTTCTTTTTGGATGGGAGAATTCAAGAATGCCAATCTGTATCAGATGTTCTGCAGCAGTATTGTTTTGCTACTAGACAGGAGATAAACCTAAACAAATCAGGAATATTTTTTAGCTCAGGGTGCCCACATACCTTAAGAGCAAATATGGCTTATGAACTGCGTGTCCCTGAACTGGATAAAACAGGAAAATACCTTGGAATTCCGTCGAATTGGGGAGAGTCTAAGAAGAATATGTTTGCCTGGATACTTGGTCAAGTTAACAAAAAACTGGAAGGTTAGAAGGAATCTTTAATTTCTAAAGCGGGGAAGGAGATATTACTAAAAACAGTAGTGCAGGCTCTTCCTCAATATGCAATGTCAATTTTCAAGATTCCTGTTTCCATATGTAAAGCGATTGAAAAGAGAATGACAGCATTTTGGTGGAAAAACAGAGAATCTCACTCTGGAATTCATTGGAAGAGTTGGGAATTCTTGAAACAAAGGAAAGACAATGGAGGCATGGGATTCAAAGATTTACTTTCTGTTAACAAGGCTTTCTTAGGAAAGCAAGCATGGAGATTAATGCATCAATCGTCCTCTTTATGGGGTCAAATTTTTAAAGGGATTTACTTCCCAAACAAGAGTTTCTGGCATGCTGGGAACGGGCATAGACCCTCTTGGGGCTGGCGAAGCTTATTATTGGGAAGAGACTCAATCTCAGAATCTTCAATGTGGACAGTGGGAACAGGAGAAGCAATCGGTATCAGAGAGGACAGATGGTTGAAAAGAGGAGTAATTGGAGGGCCATCAAATGAAAATGACCCACAAAAGGTAGTAGAGCTTATAAACAACGAAGAAAATTCCTGGAATGAGCCTCTTCTTCGAAATATATTCGAAGAGGAAACAGTGAAAGAAATTCTCGCTATTCCTCTAAGCACTCACTCCATTCAAGACAAACTGGTGTGGACATATTCATCAACAGGAAATTACTCAGTAAAGAGTGGCTACAACAACATAAGACTTACTGAGAATATCCGAAAAGCTCCAAAGGCGTCCTCATCTTTCTCGGCTCCTCGAGCTTTGTGGAATAAGATCTGGAAAATTGGAACCATCCCTAAAATTAAGTTCTTTCTATGGAATGCATGTCAGAACAGTCTACCCACAATGGAGAACTTACACAAGCGAAAAATAGTACCAGATCCATTATGCTCACTGTGTAAAGACCAGGTGGAATCCATAGAGCATCTCCTTCGTCTTTGTCCCTGGACAAGAGAAATATGGGCTCAACCATCCCTAAACATTCAGGTTTCTTCCCAAGGGTTCAGCAGAATAGAGACATGGCTAATGCAATTCCTTAAAAGTACAGGAAACCTACCTTCTTTGGAACTTGTTGCAACCATCTTCTGGTTTATTTGGACTTCCAACAACACCTTTATCTTTCGAAAGAAACTCCCAAACCCAGTTCAAGCACTACAAGGAGCTCTAACTTCTCTCGGCAATTACAGGAGATGGAATTCAAAGCAAAAATCGGACCTTGACGCACCCACCTCTTCTGAGATCTGGAAACCCCCAAAGGGCAGATCTTTAAAGGTTAATATTGATGGATCCTTCGTCGAAAGCTCCATGGAAGGCGCAATCGCTTGCATCGTTCGAAACTCAGAGGGGACACTTGTGGATGGCTTTGCAAAGCAAATCCATGTCTCCTCAGCCTCTCAAGCGGAATTTGTGACTCTCTTGGAAACCCTAAAGTTCTTAGTCCCTCGAAGACACTATCCCCTTGAGTTAGAGTCAGACAATCTGACTTTGGTAAAAACTATGGAAAACTCAGACCTTATTCCATGGGATGCACGTGCAATTATCTCCCAATGCCTTGATCTGTCCTCTAGCTTCTCATAGTTCCATATCACCCATTGCCATCGTGAAGCCAACTCCATTGCGGACTGGACCACAAAAGCTCAGCGCCATAAAACTCTGCCAAGGGACTGGATTTCTTCCCCTCCCCAAATCTTGTTGGATTTACTTTGTAAGGAATTAAGCCCAGTTTATGGGCTCTGCATTTTCAAATTAAATAAAAGTTAATCAGTTTACGACCCAAAAAAAAAAAAATTTGGGAGCCGTGGAAGAAATTGATGCTACACCTGTTGACTACTGTAAATTCTAAGATTTACAATCAAATTTAGGAAAAAATATTAGTTGATCTTGAAGAAATCGGATGCGCAAGAGGCATTGTTTTCGGCAAAATCATTACTTGCGACCTTGCTCTTAGGCATGAGCCATTATTTAATCAGTTGCATATAAAGTCTTCATTGTGTTGAGAAAACTTTCTAATATGTTTCAAAGATTGACAAAACCTTCCATCGTATCTATTGAATCTGACGAAAGTATTTTCAGGTAATATTTATGAAGAAACGATATTCAGATAGCCTCAACACATTGAACCACTATTGAGTACATCGAGTGTGTCTGCGCCGCCAGCCTCACGTTCCTCTAAAGTTTTAGCCTAAATTTGTGTATTATAGGAGAAGCGTCCAGTACCAAAGGGAAATGAAATGTCTCATTTGGCCTTGATCAACACAAGTAGGAGCAATTCTTGCACAAAATACTCTGCAATCATAGTTTCAAAGTCCGCTCAATAATTAGAATATTAACATGCATGAAATTATTTATTCCCTCTTTTTCCGAGTTAAAAATTTCCTATGAACAAACTCGAGCTCAATACTCAATAGGCAACTTTTTCTGAATTATCTAACAGGAAAATATCGACGACTTCATGGTGATCACGTCATAGAGGAATATATAATTCGAGTTCCGCGATCAGACCCTGTTTTAGTACCTGGTGATAAGCATCTTTCTTCATGAAAAGACGATATTCACTTTTTTTTTTTGGTCTGTTAGATGATATTCACTTACCCTCTCACATTTGGGAGCTTCCATATAAATATCATGATGGAAACATTTTAGGAAAAAAAACTGCAGTTCCTCACATATATAGGATTCTGATAACAGTGGAGTAATGGAGATTATTGCATCTTCCCAATACTTCAGCACATGGTTTTCTCGCGTGATACCTCATTGATAATACATTCTCTCTTAAAATCTAACGTAACGCCCATCCTTGGTTCTACAACCACAAATTACGCAGCTCATCAAAGTAATGTTTAACCTGGTATTTATGAAAGAAATCAGCTATAATCTCAATTGAAACCAGAATTCAGTTAAGAAATGTAATTAAGAGCCTCAATGTGTAACAAATTAAAATTGGTGAGTTCCGGTAGAGAAGTATGACAACACTGTCATTGCAAAGTTCTCAATCTACCGGGGCTTTGAATTAGCAGAAATATGGAAGCATCCATACAAAATGAGGAACCTCAAACCAAACATGATAGAACAGTGTAGGCTTCACAGATTCCTTTATATGGAAAATTATGTCACACTTGACATCAAGTATCTAATTCTATGCTGCATCACATCCCTCAAGGATACATATGCAAGTTAAGTTGGAGCAAGTGCGGTTGGACATTGCAGCCAGTAAGCCTCCAATGTTTTCTCTTTCCATACACGATGGCCATGGATGTTAATGCATTACAGAAGGAAAGAGCTGCCAGACATTTAAAGTGAAATTTCGCTTGCGTTCAACGAATCTTCCCAGATTCACGACCCAAGAAATGCCTGCGAAATGGGTAAGTTCAGGAATTACACAATGATGAGATGACAACACAAAATTCCATGGAGAGAGAGAGAGAGAGAGAGGAACTGCCAACTGAATGAGATTCTAAATGCATTGATCCGTGAGCATCATATCAATCAATTTCTACGCATATATCAACTTACCTCTCACTTAACCAGATCGGTCTATTTGCAGATTTGGGCAGTTGAAGTCAACCTGACATTGAGGTGGTACTTTGAACACAGTTTTGCTTAGACTAGGCAAGCTGCGCAGTCGTAATCTTTTCAGTGAAGAAGCTGATGAGCTGCCAGTGAATATAGTTTCCAAGCTTTTACATGAGTTTATCTCAAGAATCTCCAGGTTTGGCAGTGATTCGGATGAGGGAGAAACTTCTTTGAGCTGGGGACAAGATTCTATTTTAAGCTGTTTTAGATTTTCGAAGCTCCCCGGCTTCACTTCCCGACTGCATATGGTCTTCAGCCTAGCAGCATGGGAAATATGGAGAATTTCCAGATTTTCAGCTTCTCCAAGCACTTCCTCTAAATTCTTCAGATTCTGACACTGTCTCACTTTCAGTACTCGCAGGGAGACCATCTTAACACCAATTATCTCGAGCTTAGGTAATTCCAGAAGATCCAAGGTCTGCAAGTTACATTTTTCTGACATACCAGGGTTGAATAGCTTTTCCATTTTCTCACAAAATTTGATTTGGAGGTTTTCGAGCTTCTTTGGCAGCTTGGACAATGAGAAAACATCGGCAAGCATCGGGCAACAATCTACATACAAGCTCTTAAGACCTCCGAAGACCTCGGAGTGCACTTTATCATCACATACGCTTCTTAAGGAAGAGAGATTACACAGATAAAGACAGTCAAGCTTTCCTGAAGCTCTGGCATCTTCTTCACCATCGACTATACTACGGATATCTGTGCACCTATCAAGCCAACAGCTCTTTATTGATCTCAGATTCTCTTTAACAAGTTCAGATAAGTGCCTCAAAGAGCTATCATCCATTAGCGATATGTTATCAGCATGCTCGAGAACATGTTCAGGTAGACTGAATTCGCAATAGGATCCATGGATCTCCAGATACCGCCCTGGTTCTTTATGATGAGGAAATCTTCCTTGAGATTTGATATCTACCAGTAGGCCCCTGTCTCCGAGGTTGTCTATCCTTCCATCTGAATTTTTGGGGAGCCAAATAGAAAAGTGGAATTTTTGGAAGCACGTATCCCACAACTTGGGATTTTTCTCCACGAACTGGAAAAAACTGGTACCACATATCGATATGGAAGGCCAGTCAGAAGATGCAGCAATCTCAGAACTTAGGGATCGACAACCTCCCAAGTTGAACTCCTCTGGAATATACTTTATCTTCTTCCAGTCAATTTCTTTAATATGCTTCGTATCCAGCAGATTGAGCTTCCTTAGACTAGTCAGATCCGAGATTTCATAGGGAAATTCTTTTATTTTTGTACCTGAAAGATCTAGAACCTCCAATTCGGTAAGAGACTTCAAATTTTCCAAACTTTCCAGATCAGCACAATCTCTTAGCAGTAGTTGTTGGAGGTTGCTAAAAGTCTCTAGGGTAGGTAAGGACTCAACCTTGGTCCCCGATAAATCCAGCAGCTCAAGCTCCTTTAGGGCATCCAGCTTCGACACTTTACAGGAACAATTCGTCAGAGAGAGCTCCCTAAGGTTAGTGAGGTGGGACAGAGATGGCAATTGTTCAAATTCAATTTCAGAGAGGTTCAGAATCCTTAGTTTGCTCATATGGCGAAGAAATTCAAGTTTTATATTGCTCAAAGATTTTGCACCACAGAGGTTGAGTACCTCAAGGTTCAACAGAGCTTCCAAAGAAGGAAGGTCATTCAAGGAGGTGCAATTTCTCATTATTAGGTGGCAGAGGCTGATAGGAAAGCAATTTGAAGGAAGGCTTTCAATTTTAGTCTCTGAAAGATTGATGGTCTTCAGGTGAGCCATGCCCCAAAAGGAGTCATTCCTTGCTATCTCCAACTTAGAGCATCCCGAGAGATCAAGAACTTCCAGTTTCTGAAGTGTACTCAAGTTTTGCAACTTAGTAAGGAGCTTGCAATTCTTTAGCGAGAGCAAACGAAGTTCAGAATGCTTGGAAAGTGATGGCAGAGCTGTTATTTTAGTATTTGAGAGGATGAGTCGGCGAAGGGAATTAAGATGTTCAAATGACTCATCTTTAAATTCTTCCAATATAGAGGCATCAGACAGGTTCAGCTCCTCAAGGCTTTGGAGGCCTTTCGTGGATGGCAATTTTGGAAGCCCAACACAACCACTCAAAAGAAGATGAGATAAGCTGCTGAAGTTGCAAGGTAGCTTATTTACAGTACTACCCGTGAGATCCAGAACTCTAAACTCAGTCTTAGTTTCCTGGGGATCGTCTTGTACTTCTTTCAAAGATGTTGTCTTTGCAAGATCGAGAATCTCAAGTTTAAGTAAGGGTTTTAAGGAGGGAAGTCTTGACAGGAATGGACAGTCACTTAAGAGGAGTCGAGTGAGCTCTTGCAAATCATGAAAGAAGGGAAAGCGCGCAATGCTGGTCTTAGAAAGATTGAGAGTTTGAAGTTTTTTGAGCGGAGAGATGGTCTTGACCAGGGTACTTCGGAAGGAGTATGAACCAGAGAGATCAAGCACTTCCAGCTTTGCCAGTGAAAGCATTTCCTGTTTTGCCACTTCCTTCTTCTTCAATAGTTTATCATCACACAATTTTTCCAAATTTGGACAGTTTCTAAGAATGAGCCAACGGAGTTCGCCCCGATTTAAGACAGACGCAGGAAGCCACTTAATGCCAACTTCAGATAAGTTCAGAGATCTAAGATCTTTCATTAGCTCAAAAAGATCGTCATTGATTTCCTTCACGAAACAAGCCCCAGATATCTCAAGAACTAGTAAGTTTGTAAGCTCACAGATCTCATCAACATTCTCCAATAGACGACAGCCCCTCAGAACAAGTACTTGAAGCTCCTTCAACTTTGAAAGTGGTAAGGGCAGCTTTTTGAACTTCGGATGTAAGATGACAAGGACTTTAAGTTGTTGGATGCGTTGGAAGAATGTTTCAGGAACTTCTCTGCAAAAACGAGCACCATCAATAAGGAGGGTGGACATCTCACTCCCTTTCCCACAACTTGTCTTGATCATCCCGTCGGTCTGTACAACCCTCCCAAGACCAGCCCAAGTTTGGTCATGTAGCACACTGGCCACGCCAACACATGCAGACCCACTAAGTCCATCACGTCGGTGATCAGTGACACCCAAAGCATCACTGTCCATATAAACATAACCATTCTCTTTTACTCTTAGAAATCCACGATCTTTGAGCTCCATCAGAGTATGATGTGCTTCCTCGTAAGCCATTTCAACATGATCATGGTGATCAAAATACCCTTCCAGTAACCAGTGAGTTATCAGCTCATTGTAGTGGATGCTATCACGTTGGAGGAACGAGAATCTACAGTGCCAACAGCACTTATTGAGGGTGCTTGGCAACATTTTATACACATGCTGCATTACTGTTTTGATATCAGCAGATTCAATAATAGAGGCCGCTTCTTCAACTGCCTTGTCCAATTCAGAGTCGTTAACATGATTTATGGCTTCTGCTATAATAATAATTGCCCCAGGATGACCTGAGCTAACTTTTCCAATAGCTGCAGAGAGTCTCTCAAACCCAGTTGCCCTAGAAACTTCTGCCTTGACCCTATTCCCCAGTAAATTTGATGACTCGACATGAGACAGGACTTCGATTTTATAAAATCTTTCACCGTCTGTCTGAATTGTATCCCCATTTCCTTCGTTGCCAATACCGATATCACTGCCACTTCTCGTGATTAAAACCTTAAGAAGGTGCCCATCGCGAGAAAGGAAGTCACTTAAAGCAAGAAGTTCTGGTTTGATGTCAATAAAATCATCCAGAACTGCGAGCAGATATGGATCTTTTTCAGTCCCGGGAGGATATTTCAGAAAATCTTCCATTTTTGCATTTTTTTTAGGCTTTTCAGATTTCTTCTCTTCAGGCTTTGCAGTTTTCATTTCTGCAAGTTTTGCAGATTTCATCAGCTTAAGCTTTTCCAGTATACCCTGTTTTAGATCCAAGTCCACTTCTTGCTCCTGCTGCTCCATCTCAGCATTGTCATCTTCCTCCCACTTCTCATTAGAAGGTAATACAGACAGCTGAATGGCAAATTTTTCAAGAAGAGATTGGCCTTCATAATCATATCCCGGGACCACCCAAATAGTTCCATAGGAGGATCCGTTGAGGCAGACAGAATTACTTATCTCTTTTGCCATCCATGTTTTACCCACTCCAGCTTCTCCAAAAAGGACAACTGTTTTCACGCTATCATCACTTAGAAGATCTAAAATATCTGCTTTCCGAGTTTCCGGAGAATTTTTCGGGTTGGCCATCGCTGGCAAATTCAACTGTACAAATAGGACATTGGTTAAGGATGTTTTTTTTCCTTTTCCTTTTCTGCTGAACTATCCTTCTAAGGTAACCATTGAGAACAAATTTAATACAACTGTTCCACATACACCATTCAATATAGTGCTTCAATACAAGCATGATTGTCAAATCTCAGCTACAAAGGCTCTAAAAGGGGGGAAAAGACCTTCAGGAAGAAATTTTAATTACTCCAACCTGGAAACTAGGCGATGCAAAATGTTTATGTCTCATCAAACACGAATGTCGCATATTATTATTACTTGTAGCCTCTAGGAGCCCAAGGTACAAGAACAATTATTGCATTACTTATAACCAATGTGCCCAATATTTTCAAAATGAAATAAGATGGTTATAGCCTAACCATATGGTTTTCGAATTCTTGCAGACATCCTAACAAATCCAATATACAAACAACGAAAAACTAAAGTAATCACTATACTCCACCACATCATCAGAAAAATCAGCATGCAGGGGTTTGAAATCTAACTTGCACATTCAGTTAAGTTCTGATCAATCTGCCAAGATAAAAGAATAGCACTCCATAGCTGTCCTATGGCAGACTTGAAGTTCTTCCGACAAGTTCATTGCAAGAATTAGGTGAAGTTTGTCAGCTTATAATCATCTCCCAATATCAAAATTCAAGGCTTTTACTTGGATGCACCCATTGCATTAGTAAACCGCTTTGTTTTTAATAGGACTTATAAAGAACTCTATGCTACCAAGATCTTTTGTTACAACAGTTGTTCCCAAGAGTATTACTTGCAAAAACAAGTTTAAATTTGGGAAAGTTTACATCTGCATTTTATAGCAGATTAAGGTTGTGTTGAACAAAGAAAATAAGTTGGAGTTGGCTACAATAGTTGTTCCCTAGAGTCCTACAGCTAATCACCCATACACAAAGAAAAGTTTACATTTTTTTCATTTGACAATCACAAAAAGAAGCAGAAAAACACATTTTTATCTAAAGCTTTCTCCCTGTCTCGCTTTATCACAGAAGTTTGTTTTGCCTCACTTGCCTCCCTAAGTGAAGGTAATGGCTAAAGACTTGCCCATAATTACTGAAGTCAACTACCAAAAGATTCTTCGTGTGCCAATCCCGTCAAAAAACAGTAAATCTCCCAAAGTGGGACTGCAAAACCGTTAAGGTTTTGGCTAAAAGTCCAACATTTAATGGCAGACACCAGTGTCAAACAAACTATTTCAACGATTGCACATATTTGTTCATCACTAGTCATATGCTTCAAGATTGACTCATTCCTGATGAAACATTCAGTAGGGGAAAGAACTCAAGACAAGCTGATGTATGTTGTGAACGCACAAAGGTAAAGTAGACAAAATAAGCTGTAAAAAACAAATCAGTATAGATGACAGACATCAACAAATGGATATTTCCTATGAAAGAAAGAGGGAAAGAAAGAGTGAAGTTGCAACTACAGGTTGAAAATGGGCAGGTCGAGTCTGTTTCGTATTCATATAGTTTTAGGGTTGGTTCAGGTTCTGCTTTCTCGGATGTGAGTTTGGTTCTGGTTCGGCATCTTGAATCATCTCGTATTTCAGTTCCCTCAGCCATGAGTCGAGAACTATTCAGTATGTGCTCTGTGGCTTTCTGATAATCCAAAATCAGTTTTCCTTCGTTCGGGTTTAGTCGGGTCAGAGTTGAATTTTCAAAATATCTAGCATCTTTTATACCTTTTAACTTGTTAGATCCAATTCCATTCTATTTTAATGGAATGCATATACTAGTTAGTATAACTCTGCATACTGTTGAAGAAAGCGGCCACGTCAGAAGCGAATGCACGGGAAACCGGGAATGTGGCAGTTTGGATTAGTTACTGCGAATCTCAACCTCTCAAATTCCCCATACATCGTTCCAATGCCACAAGATCACTCAGATGCAGTACTTCGCTATTGACCAACCATACATTCAAGAAACACTGTATCAATCCGGAACACAAACAACGCCAAAAGAGAAAAACAAAAGAAAGGAAATTCGTTCATCCAAATGAACAAAGATTTCTGCAACTAAACAAAAAAGGCAAGAGAAATGAGAACCTGAAAGCTTGTTGCCGCTGAGACCGCAAAAGGCAAAATATAGTAACTCTCACGGATCTCTCTCAAAGCTCTCTCTGGGCTTAACCAATCTCGCGCATCTTCTTCATTTGACGCTTCTACTATTATACTCCTGCCAGAGTCAATGGACAACGGTCTGCTGGGTCGTCTTCTTCGTATTTGCTTTTTTCAAAAACGTGTAAAGTCGTTTAGCATAGCTAATCTATCTTCTTCTTTTTTTGTGCTAATATCACCAAAAATCGCAAACTGGACACTCGTGCCACATTAAACCCAAACTAATTTTCATGTAAAAAAAATGTAAACCGATACACCCATGCTATACTTCCCTCAAACTAATTTTTATGTTGTGCCACATTTGCTCCGAATTAATTTTCGTATTACAAAAAAATTTCAAAGTTTGGGATCAATGCGGCATGGATATACTAGTTTGAAATAAATGTGACATAGGTATACTAGTTTGAAAAATAATTTTCTCATATAATATAAGAAACTTCTTCGATGTGATAATATTCTTTTCATGCATGAAGTTCAATGTGCATTATTTTTAGCAAGTTCAACATGTTATTATAAATTTATCGAGGGAATAAATTCCTAATAAAGTAATACTTTTTAAACTTTTTTTGTACTTCAATGCTTATTAATAAGACTAATATATAATAATGTTAAATAGTTATTAATCATCTAGATATTTTTAGCGGAAGATTCTTTTCCTCTCAGTTTTTGTTTTATTTTCTATAGTTTTGACGTGGGTCCCATCTTTCTTTTGAATTTTTTTGCCTCACTTCTTGTGAGATCTACTAAACCCCACTTTCCTCACAAAAGCAAAAGGGATAAGTGCACTAGAAGTCCTAAAACTTATCAAGAAAGTGCAATTGAGTCCTAAAACTTTCAAAAAATGCGATCAAGTCATAAAACTTGTCACGAAAATGTAATCAAGTCCTAAAACTTTCAAAAAGTACAATTAAGTCCTAAAACTTATCACGAAGGTGCAATCAAGTCCTAAAACTTATCACCAAGGTGCAATCAAGTCCTAACATTTTCAAAAAGTGCAATCAATGGAAGGACTTAATTGAACCAATTTGACAAGTTTTAGGACTTGTTTGCACTTTCGTGACAAGTTTTAGGACTTGTTTGCACTTTTTGAAAGTTTTAGGACTCAATTGCACTTTTCTAACAAGTTTTAGAACTTAATTGCACATTATAAAAGTTTTAGGACTCAATTGCACTTTCGTGACAAGTTTTAGGACTTTGAATGCACTTATCCCAAACCAAAAATACTGGAGAAAACGAAAGGAAGAAAAGAAAAGAAAAAGAACAAGCAAAGCCAAAAAAAAGGTTGGGTCAAGGTGACCATTTACCATGCGTGGGGTGAATGAATTGGTTAAGTACAACCCCGCTTTAGTCTATAGATGTCATAACATTCACACGGAGTTTATTTGAATGTTCCAACTTTTTTTGTTTTTTGATCACTTTGTTGATACCTAAATTTTGACTATCATAATTAGTCATTTAATCGCATAGAAAATTAGGGGCCAGGGTCCACGCGTAAACAAAAATATCATTAGCATTAAAGATATTGGGAACATGTTCATTTAATAATAATATGTCCACTTAAATTGCATTTGAGTCGGTCGGGTCATAAATCGCTTTAGGCTTAGTTCAAAATGCTAAATGGGTTTAAGAAAGGAGGCCCTACACTTAATTGAATTTCCAAAACTCAGCCCATATAGACTAGGCCCCCCGTGAAAATTCGGCCAGCCCCTAATCCCTTAATGTGGCCGAAAATCGGGGTGTTCTAAATTATGATAGTGCATCCTTTGATCAATTTAGGAAGCAATAAGGCTATGTATCACTTAACTTTCGGTCACATGGGGATAAGAAAGCGGGATGTTTTAATTTCCTAACATGGGTGGATTAACATATTCTTTGAATCTAAATTAGGAAAGTGAGATCTTAAGAAAGCCCTAAGGTTGTGCCTATATAAACGCTCTATTCTTTTGATGTCGATGGGGAGACCACCTTTGATGACTACAATAGGATGAGAACAAGCGGCCGGGAGAGGCAACACGTGTCATCCGGATGATGGCAACGAAAGATCAATCGCGGGGGGTCGAAAACCTAGAGTGGATTATTCGTTGGGGAGTAATGGCGTTTGCAAATAGAACGTGCTCAAAATACAAACCGATAAGCACCAATATTGTCTCTCGGGTTCGAGACAATACCTTTCCAATTTCTATTAGAAGAGTATATATTGATTTTTTATTATCAAAATTTACCACGAAATTTCATTGTTAATCCTCATGAAAAACTCAAGTCGTCCTCCTTGTTTTTTTTAGCCATCAAAGTTCCCCGTTTACTCTATTTTCTTCCTCTCTCAACTACCAGCATTTCCATTTCCTACGGGCGCGGATGATACGCTCTTTTACAAGTATATATATATAACACATTATTTTCCTTTTAGACGTCAACATAATAACAGGATGAAACAAATGGACAAAATCATAATTAATCCGTCGAGCGAATTATCAACATAACTCATAAATATCTCTGAATTTCCAAAATAACATTCAAATCTCACGCACCTTTGGATCATGTAAAATTCTTTTACAAAGGTAAAATTCTATAGTTTTTTTCTAAACTTAATCACCTTTTTCCTGATCAAGCCTTCCAATTTTTTAATTTAACAATCAACTCCTTAAACTTGTATAAGCTCCTAGTCAAGTCCAACAAGGACTAGGCTAACGCAATCTTCAGACCATCTCAAGAGCATGATCGATGCAGAGAGATCTTGCCCTTGTGGACAAATCACGATGTGAGCCCTGTTTGGGGACGATCTTTCGGAGACCGTCCTCAATTGCTTGCGCTTAGAAACAAGTTCTTTTGGTTTCTAAGTTTTCTTTCTTTGGATTACCGTCCGGCCCCAGTTGCTCGATTCCATGAATCTCCGTTACAGAACCGTATATGAAGCTTCCTGAGTCAAGGCATATGCCCATAAATCGAAAATAAGATCGGAACCGGCGCCGATCTCACTTCACTGAAGCACACGGTATGGTGTTGGGCCATGATTCATCATCACCATGCAAAGAGGAAAATAAAATACAGGCCCGACCACTGGTGGGCTTCAAGCCATTCTATATTCAAGCTGATAGATTCCCTCGAAGCAGGGCTAGTACTAGTAGTGATTCGCGATAAACTTTCAATAGTTACGATGTTGATGTGCTAATCTTTTGGAATTGCTTCACTCCTTGACCTATACTAGGAATAAATGAGTCGCCACAAACTTCCGGTAGTTACGAAGTTAATGTGCCAACCTTTTGGAATTGCTTCACTCCTTGACCTAGACTTGGAATAAATGAGTCGCGATAAACTTTCAGTAGTTACGATGTTGATGTGCTAACCTTTTGGAATTGCTTCGCTCCTTGACCTAGACTTAAAATAGATGAGTCGCGACAAACTAAAGCAGGTACGAAGCTGATACGAAATAAAGATAGCAATAGAGCAAACGTTGTCAGATATACTAAACCCCACTTCTTGTGTGAAAAGGTGACTATCCCAATCATCTTTCTTTTTGAGTTTTTTTGCTTCACTTCTTGTGAGACCCCACCCTCCTGACAAAAGCAATAAGATCGGGGCTCAAATAATACAGACTTTGAAAAGATGGTTACGGACAAAGGCAGACTCGAACTTAAGGCACGTAACAGCTCAACTGAGCATTTGGCCCCAGACAAACAGCATTAATAATTCACAACTGTTTCTCCGGTTCATTAAAGTAGTGGCCTCGTGATCTTCGACAGCAGGTTCCTTCAATGACTGCCGGGTGATCTATGGTCCGGGTCTTCACGAGGTCTAGCTACCGTGTGTACCGCACTTAGGTTTGCCATAATTCCATGAGTTTTGAGAAAAAGTCTTCTGTCTTTAAAAACGTGTTGCACGCGTAGGAATAATGTCATGAGATCTCATCCTGATAAGCACTCGGTCACAAGAATTTGGGAATGATGTCATTTCTTTTCATACAAGGATCCTTTGAATCTCTCCATGTATTCCAGGGATTTCTGTTAAACTGCATGTATAATTCGGTAATAAAAGAAACACCATTAGTTTGACTTGCTAGTCCTGTAGTAGTGTAGAGTTTGCAGTGCAGCCTTCTTTTTCTTATTCACCAAAATTTGCGCCTTCTTTCTGGAAGGTTTTGATGACGTCATGTGCCACACGTCACCAAAATCATGCATAAGTATATTGGACTTAATTCCAATGGACCATGCTAATAAAATAATAATTATTTTTTCTAGTAGAAAACTACATGCAGTACTTAAGGAATGGAACTTAGTGTGTTTTAAATGCGTGATGCATGGAAGCACAATAATATCTAACGGCCTTTCTCATGACCACAAGTCATTTTACTCAGGATGTAAAAATGTTTTGATTTTGAACGTTTTGGTTGTGTACATATTAGAATCAATAATTTTGTTTGCGTTTCCCTCTACAGTTCTTATTTTAAGTTCGAGTTGAGATTATACAAAAGCAAACGCCACCACCTAATTGATGCCATAAAATTGACATCTTAGCTTCTATCGGTAAGTTAAACATGACTTGTAGAATCAACAAACGAGGGGTTGGATCCATTTTTGATCGAATTGAATTCGATTTCATATCATATTCGGATACGAGTAATTCCGGCTTATAAAATGTCAAATGCGGGGATAAGTCGGACTATATCGGGTTGCAATACCGCGATCAAAAGTTGGTACGATCTTGATATGAAATAAATATAGCACATGATAGCATCTACTCTAGAGGGTACCATATGACATATTGATTTTAAACGCCATTTGCCTATTTGAAAGAGATGTACATGTGAGTCACGTTGATACAGAACACAAAGACTTCTCTTGTTTTTTTGCAGAAGTCTTGTAACTAACCTCATTTCTTTATTTAATTCTTGGAATTTTATTGATGAGTGTCAGAGGACACTTATTAAGAAACCAAAGAAACTTTATTGGTTTTATTTGATGCAATGACTATTTTGCCTTATTTGTAATCATTGCTTAAACATATCTTTATCAAGAATCCTCAACAAGTAATTCTAGAGGACTCATTACTCACTAGTACGACGTTTATTTATTACTAGTAATAGAGCAAACGTTTTGCGTGTGAAAATGAATAAAAAATTTTTTGGTCGAAAAAATGAATATAATTAGATATGTTGAAGATATATATGTTGAGAATATATGGTTGTAGAGTTGGTCCATTTAGAAGAATGCACGCAAATTTTTGTGAAAGCAAGAGGAATTTTACTCCCCAAAGATAACAAATGTTTAGATCTAAATTCAAGAATTATGATGTGCTAGAGATTTAATTTACTGGTTATAATTATACCCCCTATTTGCTATTGTACTATTATGATTTACTTTGTATAATATGTGGGCTTTCCTTCAAAAATAAGAATTAATAGTAGAGGTTTAAATTTTTTTTTGGGGTTTGTATAATCATATAGTTAGATTTAAGAGCACAAGCATATGCGTGTTCAAAGAAAGTTTTGAATGTGTGTGGGGGGAAAGAAAAATTATCTAAAGATAGGAATCGGTTCGGAAAAGATAATATTCTTTTCAAGCATGAAGTTGAATGTATTTTATTATTGGCAAGTGCAAAACGTTTCTATAAATTTATCGAGTGAATAAATTATTAACAAAAAAGTAATACTTTATAAACTTTTTTTGAACTTCAATGCTTATTAATAAGACTCATTTATACAAAGTTGAACATGCCTTGTAGAGGCAACGAACGAGGGGTCGGAGCCATTTTCAATCGACTGGAATTCGATTTCAGATCATATTCAAATATGAGTTATTTCGGCTTATGGAATGGGAAATGTGGGGATAAGTAAGACTAGATCGGGTTGTAATACCGTGATCCAAAGGCAAACTAATTGGATCCTGGTTTTTACTCCTTGGTTGGAACTTGAACACAATGTTATCAAATTCATCGATTTTTCGAGAGAAAATCAGGTTGTGCGATTGCAAAAGTGATTGAAATGCAGAAAACTTAAAATGTTGAGGAATCGAAAATGCTTGCGAGATTAAAGTATGAGAAATCGAAATTCTGATTGGAATCAAAATAAATGTGAAACTTATGTGTTTACAGACGTTCAACCTCTAACTTTGAAACTAAAGCGAAGTCTACATTGGGAATTAATTCTCTTTCTTCAAAGTACAACAAACATCAAGTAGAATACTACAGAAGTTGGAAGAAATCCATATTAGAATTTCTCATGAATGAAACACGTGTGAGCCAATACTGCAGTCCTTTGTAGTAATATGCTTCTTTCCATTAGCAGAAAGCCATTCAAGATAAATCAAGCAACAAGTAATAAATAATGAAATTTTATTTTCTATTAATTTTCATGAACCCAAGTTATTTAGAGGCATTTATTACATTTTGACCATTTGAGTTTTTAGCTTTAAATATGCTTCATTACTTTTGTTAGAAATACTTATGATATTCAAGATATTTAGGTTATTTTGGATATTTTTCTGATTGATTTGTAATATTCAGTTATCGTAGATAATCAACTTGTAAAGCCTATATAAATAGGTTCATGTACTCTTTATTATCACATCTCGAAAGATACAGAAATTCTGTAATTCATTTTTCTGCATTATTCTTAACTTAGTATCACAAAGTTGTCAACACGGCAGCCGCACAGGCTGCCATAATGCCTTAAAATTCATGACATCGAAAGCTGCCTCACGCGCCCCCACATGCTGCCGTCTCGAACTCACCGGAACTCGACCCATGTAAGTGCTTTTCCGATGCCTTACCCTAGTTATTGTCAACATAGAACACCACCGCTGGGTTCCCTATCTACGAAGGAGTGGCACGGGATCAGACTCCGACCTCACGTGTTGACGTCACGCTTACGCACTGCTTGCGTAATCTGCCAAGTTACCCGCTACGTCATGGCCACACAGAGCCACATCACTCGCCACACAGTGCCACGTCACTATTAATCGTTGACCGTTGACCATCCACCAGTAGTTGACCGATCGGTTCTCTAGGTATTTTAACATGCTGATTCCATTTTTGGCGTCATTTTTTTTTTTTCCATATTTGCACTCCAAGTACTAGTTTCTTGGTTTTTATTATATAAATTAGTGTATTCAATGGATAAAATGGAAGTGCCAATACCCTCAAATCGTTTGTAATCGATCAAATTATATTTTATGGGTTCAAGAAAAGTCAAGTTTTCTAAGAGGATGCAGACTTTGGCGTTATGTCACTGGTGAAATTTGTGCGCCTACGAGGATTGCTGAAGAAACTAGAGAAAAACGTAGTGAGCATTTGGAGGAGTGGGACAACAAGAACCAATACTTCGATTCCTTCTATCAGGCTTTTAGGAAATCTGCATCGCATTCATCAGGAGACATGTTAGTTTATTAATGATTATTTTGTCCTCTATGCATGCTATTTAGGATCAACTGGCTTTATCATAACCACAATGGGAACTGGATGCTGATGTTTGTAAGTTTGCTGAATATCGTGATCGTATGCGTCGTATGCAATTTCTAATGGCACTTAATGATGACTTTGAACCTATATGGGTTTCACTTTTCCATCGAGATCCTATATGAGTTTCACTTCTCCATCGAGATCCGTTACCTTGTCTTGAGGCAGTTGTTTCGTAATTATTGACTGAGGATATACTGTTCTAAAGCATACTTTTACAGCAGCAATAAGTTGAAAGTATAGTTTCATCATACTTTAAATATATCATATTGAAACTTTATTGTTAATTCTAAACAATATATCCTGCTTCTTTTAATCCAATTTCTATTTTTTTTTCTCAGAGAGATGTTAAAGTTTGGGCCGCCAATATTTGATTATTGTGACATGAGTGTCTATAGAACATAGTAAATAGTAACGTTAAGTAAAAAAATATTAACAAATAATCACAATACAACCAATTTTAAAATTTGCAAAGTTGGGAAAAATAATTTTTTCTTTGGTCCGTCCTATCTTTAACTCTCCTTACTCTCTGACTTTTATTCTGCCTCTTGTAGAGCGTAGTCGAACCCCGCGCCTGTGATACTAGCGTGCTCACCCGCCCAATCCAATCCCTTTACCAGCAGAGCCGCATGCCTATTGTTGGGAAAAATAATTGTTGAAGCATCAATAAATGCAGAAGATATCAACAACCAACTCTTGGCAACAAAGTTTAAATGAAGGAATATGTGAATATATTTATTCTGAAAATAAATCACGTGAATTCTAAATATGCATTATTGGGGAAAGAGGGGAAATAATTGAAATTTTCTTTAGAATATAAATTTGCATTGCATATTTTTCAAGATATCTAACAATTCTCTTATTGATATATTGTCATAGATGATAAGATATCCATCAAGTCTTGCCAAAACAGAAAGATAGTGGCTTTAAAAAGGAAGATAGATAATAAAATAAGATGAAATATTTGGAATTAGAATATTATCTCAAAAAAATCACCTCTAACTCTCTGTAGATAAAAAGGAGAAAAGCGAAGAAACCACTTTACTATCAAGAAGATCCTACAAAAATGACTTGCCCGCCTTTTCTACGCCAAGTCAAGGACCCAAACGAGAAGATTATGACGTATGGAGGAAAGCTATCGAAAGAGGGACATTTATATTCTCACTTTTTGCTTTTACGTTTCTTATTGATTCATATTCTTTTACTTGCTAGCTCGAAATATTGCATGTACCTTATATTATGAATTTATAAAAATTGCAATTTTGTGTCCGATCTTGTTTTTTAATCGTAGGATGACCCTGCATAATGGGTTCGGATCTACTTTATATAAAACTCCACATGAACTCTAAAGGAGTTTTTTTTTATTGATGTGAATATTTTTCTTTTTCTTATAATTCTTTGCATATTATTTCTTTTGCGAAAATTCACATTGATACCAATATTCCGTATGATATAAAATATATAGTTTAAAACTCGTGCAACACTCGGGAACTTTGCTAGTTGATAAAATAAACCCATCCACGAAAAATAGAGGGGTAAAGTTGAATTTTTTCGCGCTTTGCCAGGGTTTCGAGCCCATGACTTCAGATGAATATGATACTGTGCAGCGTGCAAGTTCTCTTGCGAGGATTGTACGCTGCCGATGGTCACAAGAAGTAAAATAACAACAGAGGATAATGATAGCAGTTTGATTGGGGAAATGCAATCAAATCAAATCTAAATAGAAAAGCAGGAACTTATGCCGAAGGTCACAAGAAGTAAAATTAAACTGCGTGAATGCAGAAACAGAACAATCATACAGACATACAACATAAAATTGCATGGAGAGTTTGCTCATTTCTCTTCCTTAGCATGGGGATTCATCCAGACGCCATAGCCATCGCATGGGAAAAACTTGAGCTTTGGACACTGAAACTTTTCCAAGTAGACCAGAGATGGGAAATGATGTCGCAGGTCCAACCACTCGACCTCGCAGTTAGCGAGGAACTTGAGCCGCAAGATCTTGACCGCCCACTGATTATCAGGGTGAGAATCCAAGTTGAGATTCGCAAGGTTACCTCCTCTGATGTAGAGTTTCTCGAGTTTTTCTACCCGTGAAGGAGTTACCCACTGCGGCATGGAAGGTCTAGGGTAGCCACGCAAATCTAGCTTCATCAGTTTACCAGGAAAACGCTGGCCTCCTATCGAACTGTTCTCTTGTTTTTTGTGCTTCTTAGAGGATTTCTTGCGTCTCTTTGACTTGCTGCCAGCTCCCCTGTAAGATGAGCTGGGAGCTTGGATCCATGTGATCGTCAATGACGTCAATTCGGGCAACTGCGATAGATCATTTATATGTTTATGTTCTAAATCAGCTGCTTTATCCAGTCGCAAACTCAATTTCCACAATTTCTGCATACTTGCCAAATCAGAGAGCGTGCAAGCTTCTTCATGATTTATTACAGAAGTTGGAAGAAAGCCAAATTAGAGTTTCTCATGAATGAAACACATGTGAGCGAATACTGCAGTCCTTTGTAGTAATATACTTCTTTCCATTAGCAGAAAGCCATTCAAGAAAAATCAAGCAACAAGTAATAAATAATAAAATTTTATTTTCCATTACTTTTCATGAACCCTGTTATTTAGAGGCATTTTTTACATTTTGACCATTTGAGTTTTTAGCTTTAAAATATGCTTCATTACTTTAGTCATTCATAATCAAACTAATAATATGACAAAACACATTATTTTCCTTCTAGATGTCAACATAATAACAGGATGAAACAAATGGACAAAATCATAATTAATCTGTCGAGCGAATTATCGGCATAACTCATAAATATCTCTGAATTTCCAAAAAAACATTCAAATCTCACACACCTTCCAATCATGTAAAATTCTTTTATAAAGGTAAAACTCTATAGTTTTTTTCTAAACTTAATCACCTTTTTCCTGATCAAGCCTTCCAATTTTTTAATTTAACAATCAACTCCTTAAACTTGTATAAGCTCCTAGTCAAGTCCAACAAGGACTAAGCTAACGCAATCTTCAGACCATCTCAAGGGCGCGATGCAGAGAGATATTGCCCTTGTGGACAGATCACGTTGTGAGCCCAGTTTGGGGACGATCTAGTTCTTTTGGTTTCTAAGTTTTCTTTCTTTGGTTTACTGTCCAGCCCCAGTTGCTCGATTCCATCAATCTCAATTACAGAACCGTATATGAAGCTTCTTGAGTCAAGGCATATGCCCATAAATCGAAAATAAGATCGGAACCGGCGCCGATCTCACTTCACCAAAGCGCGCAGTATGGTGTTGGGCCATGATTCATCATCACCATGCAAAGAGGAAAATAAAATACAGGCCCGACCACTGGAGGGCTTCAAGCCATTCTATATTCAAGCTGATAGATTCCCTCCAAGCAGGGCTAGTACTAGTAGCGAGTCGCGATAAACTTTCAATAGTTACGATGTTGATGTCCTAATCTTTTGGAATTGCTTCACTCCTTGACCTAGACTAGGAATAAATGAGTCGCAACAAACTTCCGGTAGTTACGAAGTTATTGTGCCAACCTTTTGGAATTGCTTCACTCCTTGACCTAGACTTGGAATAAATGAGTCGCGATAAACTTTCAGTAGTTACGATGTTGACGTGCTAACGTTTTGGAGTTGCTTCCCTCCTTGACCTGGACTTAGAATAGATGAGTCGCGACAAACTAAAGCAGGTACGAAGCTGATATGAAATAAAGTAGCAATGGAGCAAACGTTGTCAGACCTACTAAACCCCACTTCTTGTGTGAAAAGGTGACTATCCCAATCATCTTTCTTTTTGAGTTTTTTTGCCTCACTTCTTGTGAGACCTACTAAACCCCACCCTCCTACAAAAGCAATAAGATTGGGGCTCAAATAATACAGACTTTGAAAAGATGCTTACGGACAAATGCAGACTCGGACTTAAAGCACATAACAGCTCAACTGAGCATTTGGCCCCAGACAAACAACTTTAATAATTCATGACCGTTTCTCCGGTTCATTGAAGTAGTGGCCTCGCGATCTTCGAAAGCAGATTCCTTCTATTGAGAAAAATTCCTAATTAATTTTGAAGAATGACAAAATAATTTATTACTGATCAGAATTATATTTAAGTTATTTGATGTAGATAAATACTGAATCATCAGACTTAATCGATGAAAGGACTTTGTCATCAGACTCATAATTCCTCGTCAGATTCAATAAGTGTTATTTTTAGCAAGTTTATACAAAATAATCAAATTGATATCTCAGGATATCCTAATTGGCAATCATAAGATCGTTCCTTAAACACAAAGAACTACACTTATGAAAACCTTGATTTGATTATATGGGCGATCAAATCACCTGAAAATAATGGTTTTTCTTCTAACGGCTATGCATTTTCTTTTGGGAAGTTTCTCCAACGAGTTGATTTGGAGATCAATCCTCTGAAGACTGTCCAACGGATAGATTGGAAGTAGAAGAGTATAAACGGAGTGCAAACGTCGTACAAGAAAAAACCAGAATCTAAAATTTCAAAGTTTGAATAGAGCTTCGATCTTACACACTTGTGATTACTATATTCCACATTGTGACTTTAGAAAGAAAATTACTTGAGTGAAGAGTGTACGTGATAGTATAGTCTATCATTTGAGAAGCACTGCTCTTGTAATCTTTTGGTGATTCAATAGTGAAACACAGCCAACAGGCTGCCAGAGTGGAGAGTGGACGTAGGCTTGATAAAGCCGAACCACTATAAAGATCTGTGTGCAGTATTCTCTATCCCTAAACTTTCATTTTATTATTGTTGACATTATACTGCATACATATCTGTCAAACAAGTTCATTAGAATATCATCTTAGTCATCAGACGCAATCATCTGACGACAACTTTTATACAAGTTTGTCATACGCATCATCTGATATTAATCATACGAGTTGTTGACCTCGACTATATTTATTCCGTACGTTTAAATCATACAATTTTATAAAATCACCTATTCACCCTCTCTAGGTGATAGCACTAGCCGTAACAATTGGTATCAGAGCTAGTGCTCATTTTTCTTTGAAGTGTTATTTTACTTCTGAGCTAACGATTTTGGATGGCTAGTAATGCTGAGTCAGATCACAACAAGAGACTGCCTTACTTCAATGGAACTGAATACAGTGTCTAGGAAAACAAGATGAAAACATTCATCTTGGGAATAGATCAGGATATATGGGACATCGTTGAACATAAAATCATTCCAACCGAAACAAAATCCCCAAAAACTTCAAAAGGGCAAAATGAGACGCCTTCTAGTGAAGGAACTAGAGAGCAAATCAGACCTCAAGTTCTACCACTCTCGGCCAAAGAAATTTCCAAAAGAATCTATCTGGATGCAAAGATTAGAACGGCCATATACAATGGTCTTGCAAGTGTTGAATACAAACGAATTGCAAATCTCAAAACTGCAAAAGAGATTTGAGATCGTTTCAAGCTTGTACATGAAGGAACGAAGAGAGTCAATGAGACAAATCTCAACATTCTTCTTGGGCAATACGAGTCTTTTACTCAGAAACCAAACGAAACAATTTCTAAGATGCAGAGCAGATTCACTGAGATCGTAAATGGACTAGAATTCCAAAACAATCCCATCTCAGAATCTATGAAGGTGAACAAGTTGTCGAGGGCTCTTTCAAAAGAGTGGAACAACATCAAAGTTTCTATTCGAGAAACTCAAGGGATCATACCACTCACGGTGGACGAACTTATCGGAACTCTTCAATCCTATGAAACCGAAAATTTTTTAGAAACTGAAGAACTCAAAGGTAAAAAATCAATTGCTTTAAAAACTAACATTGATTCTGATGACACGGATACAGATGAAGATGAAGATGAAGATGAAGAGTTAGCCCTAATGGTCAAGAAACTAAGAAAGATGGCAAAGAAGGTGAAGATGAATAAATCAAAGAAGCAATTCAAGAATTCTGAGTCATTAAAGGCCAAGAAGCTAAACTTTCAGAAGAAATCAAGTGCAGAAGATGAAGAAAACAAAGACATGATATGTTTCAACTGCAAAAAGAACGGACACATAAAGCCAAAATGTCCACTTTTGAAAAAGAATAAAGGGAAGTATGAACGATATAAGAAGGCTTTCAAAGCTGAAACATGGAGTGATTCAGAGGATGATGAAAGTGAACAAAAATTTGCCAATATTTGTTTGATGGCAAAATCAGACTCTGAATCAAGTTCTGATGAAGAAGATGAGGTAAGCAATTCAAATATTCCTGAAGCAGTTGCAAATTATATTGATGAGTTAATCTCTGTTAATAAAACTGCCTTCAAAAAGATTTTTGTATTGAAGAAGGAGATTGTGTCTCTAAGAAGTACAACTCAAAACAAGGAAATTGATGAGTCAATTGAATGTTTAAAAAAGGAAAATAATCTTTTAAAATAGCAAGATATTTCGTAAAAGGGTAAGATTGATTTCTTGCAAAAAGAGTTTAATCTTATCAAGAAGAATAAATATTTTCTTGAAAAGGAAAATGATTCACTGAAAAAGAAAATTTCTAATCTGAAAAATATTTCTAAGGAAAGTATTGATGGAATCTCTAATGAAAAAGAACTTTTGACAAATGATATTTCTAATATAACCAAGAAATTCTCAATAGATTCGAAAAATCTTCAACATATTTTATCAATTCAAGTTCCTTATTATAATAAATCAGGTCTGGGTTTTGAGAAAAATACTGAATTGAAAAATGCTTTTCCCAATGTCAAAGAAAGACCAAAGAAAAGACCTCCCAAATTTGTGTATCAAAATTACTTTCAAAAGCAATTTGTGAAATTCAACGGTCAAACTTCCCATAAATGCTCAAATTGCGATGATTTAAATCATTTTAAGAGTGATTGTCCCAAAGTTTGGAGACCTATTCAGAGAGACATTCTGAGAATGATTGATCCTAACCACAATGAACCCAAGAAAATATGGGTATCAAAGAAAAAGTGAGTTACTTATCTTTTGTAGGTACCAAAGAAAAGAAAGAACAAGTGGTACCTTGACAGTGGTTGCTCAAGACACATGACCGAATATCCTCTGAAATTCATCCATTTAGAAAGAATTAAAGGAGGAAGTGTATCCTTTGGAGGCAACAACAAAGGAAAGATAGTTGGCAAGGGAACTGTCAGAATCGAAAATCTCATCATCAATGAAGTCTCACTAGTTGAAGGTTTGAACTTCAATTTGATAAGAATTAGTCAATTATGTGATATTGGTTACGGAATCACTTTCCAAGAAAACGGCAAAAGGACACCAGAAGTGCCATAAGTTGTGTACGGAGGATACTTTGGTGCCATAACTTTTTTTCGGATCACTTTAGTGTTAACATTTTTGAAAAACGATCACTTTAGTGCCAATGCTGACATGGC